AGTGAAGAATTTTTACAAGGATAGTGAGGCTAAAGTTAGAGTATGTATGAAGGAGGGAGATTATTTCCCAGTAAAAGTAGGCCTTAGACAAGGATGTGTGATGTCACTGTGGTTATTCAATATACGTATTTATAGATGGGGTTCTAAGAGAAGTGAATGCGAGGGTCTTGGCAAGAGGTGTGGAGTTAAAAGATAAAGAATCAAACACAAAGTGGGAGTTGTCACAGTTGCTTTTTGCTGATGACACTGTGCTCTTGAGAGATTCTGAAGAGAAGTTCCAGAGGTTGGTGGATGAATTTGGTAGGGTATGTAAAAGAAGAAAATTAAAAGTGAATACGTATAGGAAAGAGTAAGGTTATGAGTATAACAAAAAGATTAGGTAAAGAAAGATTGGATATCAGATTGGATGGACAGAGTATGTAGGAGGTGAATGTATTCAGATATTTGGGAGTGGACGTGTCAGTAGATGGGTCTATGAAAGATGAGGTGAATCATAGAATTGATGAGGGAAAAAGGGTGAGTGGTGCACTTAAGAGTCTGTGGAGACAAAGAACTTTGTCCTTGGAAGCAAAGAGGGTAATGTATGCGAGTATAGTTTTACCAACGCTCTTATATGGGTGTGAAGCATGGGTGATGAATGTTACAGCGAGAAGGCTGGAGGCAGTGGAGATGTCATGTCTGAGGGCAATGTGTGGTGTGAATATAATGCAGAGAATTCGTAGTTTGGAAGTTAGGAGGAGGTGCAGGATTGCCAAAACTGTTGTCCAGAGGGCTGAGGAAGGGTTGTTGATGTGGTTCGGACATGTAGAGAGAATGGAACGAAATAGACTGACTTTGAAACATATAAATCTGTAGTGGAGGGTAGGCGGGGTAGGGGTTGGACTAGGAAAGGTTGGAGGGAGGGTGTAAAGGAGGTTTTGTGTGTGAGGGGGGGGCTTGGACTTCCAGCAAGCATGCGGGAATATATTTGATAGAAGTGAATGGAGACAAATGGTTTTTAATACTTGATGAGCTGTTGGAGTGTGAGCATTGTAACATTTATGAAGGGGTTCAGGGAAACCGGCAGGCCGGACTTGAGTCTTGGAGATGGGAAGTACAGTGCCTGCAGTTTTATAAACTGTACTGTAAAGCACCCTTCTGGCAAGACAGTGATGGAGTGAATGATGATGAAAGTTTTTCTTTTTTGGGCCACCCTGCCTTGGTGGGACTCAGCCAATGTGTTAATAATGAAAAAAAAAAAAATTTAAAGGAGACTTCTTGGAAAGAGGTGGCTAAGTGTAACAAAGAAATATTCAACTCTGCATGTTGTGAGAATGGGTTGGAGCAAGTAAAGTATACCCGGGTGTCTACCTTAGTAAAGTATACCCAGGTGTCTACCTTAGTAAAGTATACCCGGGTGTCTACCTTAGTATACCTCACAAGGCATTAATTTTTTTTAAATAATACAAGTAGTCTACAAATGCTTCCCTCTGGTATTCTTCCTCTATTCCCATTCTCTGCTCCTCTCTCTCTATTTTCTCTGCTCCTCTCTCTTTTCTGTCTGCTCCTCTCTTTCTCTCTCTTCTGTCTGCTCCTCTCTTTCTCTTTTCTGTCTGCTCCTCTCTCTCTCTTTTCTGTCTGCTCCTCTCTCTCTCTTTTCTGTCTGCTCCTCTCTTTCTCTTTTCTGTCTGCTCCTCTCTTTCTCTTTTCTGTCTGCTCCTCTCTCTCTCTTTTCTGTCTGCTCCTCTCTCTCTCTCTCTCTCTTTTCTGTCTGCTCCTCTCTCTCTCTCTCTCTTTTCTGTCTGCTCCTCTCTCTCTCTTTTCTGTCTGCTCCTCTCTCTCTCTCTCTCTCTCTCTTTTCTGTCTGCTCCTCTCTCTCTCTCTCTCTCTCTTTTCTGTAAGACAGAAAAGAGAGAAACTTTCCCTGGATATGATCCACAACAGTTAGCTAATATATTTATTTTTTAAACACGCTGGCCGTCTCTCACCAAGGCACGGTGACCCGAAAGAGAAACACTCACAATCATATATATCTATAATTACCAGTACAACAAATGCTCCATTCATTCATGGGTCTTATGAAATGTTACAATATAAACTATGCCTTCAGGCAGCTGTTTGTAACAGATTAACAAAGTGGATGATGATCTATTAAACGAAAGTATTATCCAGCAAATATTGTATGAAAATCAAGACAAAAATCAAAAAGTCATACAGAATCTAGCAAAATAAAAATAAAATGAATACCAATGAGGAAAAATTAAAATACAATTTTATAGAATATAGTAATTCAATAATATTTATTACTGTATTGTACCATACTATATATATACAGTAATCATCAATGAAAATAAACTTTTCTCAGATAAAAAAACTGATTAGTAAAACTTTCAAAGAAAAAAGAAAAAAAAAAAGCTTCTTTTGTACCACTAGTCAGACAATAGTATAAGCTGATATATGGTGATTCAGACACACTTCGTGTTTGGACATGAATGAGTCATTGTTAACAATAATTTGTCTAAAAATGAAAATTCATTAAGCGTGTGTGTTACTAGGGAGATGGTGAGGTCACAGCAGCTGCAACAACAAATAAGGCTTCATAACAAGCACGTAGACGGCCTTGTAATAACACACAACTCCACATCCAGTATACATGCATGGAGATCCCTTATTTTATGCTTTACCTACACCACAACTTTATCAAGTATAGTGGGAAAAAATAAACTATTTGTATGGATACTTTTATTACAGCCACAACATTGTATCAAATACACAAAAAGTACACAGATACACCTTATAAGGTAAGCAAGACTCAAGAAATCGTAATGACACGATTGCAAACAAACCATACCCCCGGCCGGGATTGAACCCGCGGTCATAGAGTCTCAAAACTCCAGCCCGTCGCGTTAGCCACTAGACCAGCTAGCCACAATAAGATTCATCCAACTAGGTATATTTCTACACCATAGGAAGGTTAGCACAGGCACCACTGTGACCACAAATGAAATATACCTAGTTGGATGAATCTTATTGTGGCTAGCTGGTCTAGTGGCTAACGCGACGGGCTGGAGTTTTGAGACTCTATGACCGCGGGTTCAATCCCGGCCGGGGGTATGGTTTGTTTGCAATCGTGTCATTACGATTTCTTGAGTCATGTTGACGGCAGTGAAGGGACTTGAGCTAGAGTTCGTCACAGCCACGCTAGCTGGAGATTCGTCTGTAAAAACTTGCATTTGTGGTCACAGTGGTGCCTGTGCTAACCTTCCTATGGTGTAGAAATATACCTAGTTGGATGAATCTTATTGTGGCTAGCTGGTCTAGTGGCTAACGCGACAGGCTGGAGTTTTGAGACTCTATGACCGCGGGTTCAATCCCGGCCGGGGGTATGGTTTGGGGAAGGTAAGCAAGCACCCTAAGGTCAAGTCCAGGAGAAATCACAGGAAAGGTCAAAAGGTGGGAAAGAGAAAAGTCATGGAGGGAGGTATGAGGTAAGGTCAAGAAGGTAACTGAGAGGTCCAAGGATGTGTAGCATTTTTAGTATAAGAATCATGGATGATGTAAGCAATGGGTCCAGGAAATGTGTATACTCAATTGTTCTGCTCAATGATCCCAACAAGACAGATGGTGACCACCTCCAGGATCCTGCATTTGGGTCTGTCCTCCTGAAGCAGTTGCTATGCTGCTCCCCAACTCATGACACGGGAGTTTAGCTTACACCAGATAATGCATGTATTGTTGGCATTATCCATCCTGCACATGTATTTGTGTTTTTGAAAGCAGGGGCAAATATCAAACCTGGTCTCTCCAATGTAAACCTTGCTGCATTCTCCACCCAGAATACTGCAGATCCTCCAGTAGTAGTGAAGTCTGTTATCTCTTTTATGGTTCCAGCAGTAATAACCACACTCATTCTGGCCTTATGGAAAATGGAGGATGATAGGTGCAGCTACTAATTCATGACCATTCCCTAGGAGTGGATGTATAGCGAAAATATGAGGACTGCAAAAGTGTCTGTGATTTATTTCTGCTCACTTGCCAAGAATCTGTGGTCAAAAATCCTGAATGTGTACAGGACGAAACCTATGATGATGCCACACTTGGTCTCGATGTATTGGTAGGAAAAGAAATTAATTAAATTAAGTTTAATGGTGGCCTTCAGCTAAACCATGTTTGACAGTGTTATCTTCTTTGATGGGAAAGACATAGAAGGTAGAGAGTCATTGTTTTCCTCCTCCAGGGTGAACCATATAGGTTCCAAGGAGCTGAGAGTATCCCTGAATTGCTGAAGGCCAAAACATATAGGGAAAATGACCAGAATGTTATCTAAGTACCTCAACTACGTAATATTATGTAGAATGATGTTACTGAACCAGTTTTCCCTCTAAGTGCTCGAGATAATGGTGGCTAAGACAACAATGGAATGTCTAGTTGTACAGAGCTTGCTGAAAACTTTTGCTTAAATCATCCATGATTGTTTTACAGTATTAACAAATGTTACCCCTCCCTGGCCCCTGACCTTATCTCCCTCAACTCACCCTTGAACCTTTCCCTATAATGTACCTTTGACTTCTCTCATACTTAACCTCAGGTTTATTTTTTCTGCCTGATCTAGTCCAACCATGGATTTTTTTTTTTTTCAACAAACTAACCATCTCCCACTGAGGAAGGATTACACAAAACAGAAGAAACACCTTCACCATCATTTACTCAATCACTTGCCAGAAGAGTGCTGAAACTACAGTTTAAAACCATGAATATCCCCTCCCCTCCTTCAAAGTGCAGGCACTGTACTTCCCACCTCCAGGACTCAAGTCCAGCTTATGCCATTATTTATCAAGCATAGTACCTGATAAAGCCCCACTGTGGGTGAAACAACATATAATACAGGCTCTCTTTGCTTAAAGTGTCTCTAAATTACCTCTTGTACCTCTGCTATTATTCTTTCCTCATCTGCTACAAATCTGCAAATAAAAGTGCATAAACAAGTTTTATAGGTATACAAACAAAATGCTCTCACACACCTCTTTCATGGTAGCCTTGTGAGTCTGAAGGTATTTATCAAGGGACCCCATTGGCAAGTGCTCCATCACCAGTGACAACGGGTTCAAGGTCACGCCTTGTATTTCAACAATACATTCGCAGTTCACAAATGAAAACTCGTTGAGTATTACTAGGAAACGTTCTGTATCATTAAGGCTTCTGAATTTTGGCATCTGAAAATATTAGAAGACAACACAAGTCAAACTGGAACTTACTATCCAGCTTAACACACGACTAGAGAACACTGAAGATTATCACTTTGTGCCTGCATAATTCTGTAAGTTTTCCATTAGATTTCATACTTTTGTTGTCATTTCTTTCAAAAAACATTCTCTACCATTTCAGAAGATTTTTTTTTTTAAAGTGGACAATGGGATCAATATTAATTTCAGGGGTCTGGACGGTATAAGGTTTTACAACTAAACTTCACATTCTAAATAAGGTTCAACAAAATATAATTGAATACGGAAGAGTAAAATGGACAGGCACCCCTCACTTTATGCAGCAGATATGTTCCAGGGCAATGGCAGTTGTATTAAGCTCAATCATACCAACATGTAACCCCTCATAAGAATCTTCAATATGCTTTGTGAACTGCACTAATGGCATGCAGAATTACTCAAAGAAAAAGGACATAGCATAGTAGCAAATTTCCATAAAGCAAATCCACATAAAAAAAAACTTGCTTTACATTTACCCTTTCACTGCTGTAACCCATGAAATTAAAAACTGTCAGTTCTGCAAGTTTTCAATTTTTTTTTTTTTTTTTTTTTTTTAACACACCAGCTGTCTCCTATCAAGGCAGGATGACCCCAAAAAAGAAAAAATGAGACTTTTCCTTCTTACATTTAGTAATTTACACAAGAGAAGGGGCTACTAGCCCCTTGCTCCCTTAATTTAAGCCACCTCTTATGACACGTATGACTTAGAGGAAGGATTCTTCTCCACTTCCCCATAGTAGAGAACCTTTTTCTGAAGGTAATGACAGCAAACATGCAAAAATTGATGGAAAACTTATGGAATTACACTGGTACACAATTGGTAGCCTGGGTGCAATTTAGGCATCAGAGATTTTGCCCACTTCGAGGCTTATTTTAGGTAAATTCCACTGATCAAATAAAAAAATTCCTGGCTATTTTGCTAGTATGAATTCCTTTTTATCAATTAAACTCCCCTATAAAATGTGTAAAAGTCAGTAATTTGGGCAATTTTACACAAAACTTCAACAAATTCCACTTTAAAAACAGGCAAAAATAAACACTGTAGGCATTCCAGGAACTAAAGCAACCTTTCCTCTATTTATTAATCTTGGTTTGAGGCCTCTAGTATATATGTAACACTTGCCTTCCATTTTGAACCCATCATCACAAAAAATTGAAGTTTTCCCAATTTCCCAGTTAATACAGTATAATAAAAAGTGGTTGGGTCATTGTTTTGGCTGTTGAAGCATACCTAGAAAACCCATTTAACAGACTGGAGGGTTGGAGGGGCTCCTAGCTTTCCTCAAAAAAAAATTGCCAAAAAATAAAATATTTCTGCCATTTTGAGGCCTATTTGAGGCCATTTCTGGTTTGAAACTGACCAGAATCTCCTCCATTTCACTAGTATGTCTTCTAGTCTGTCAACTGACTCCAAGAAACAGCCAATAAAACCAAGAAAACCATACAAAATCAGAGACAAGCTGTTCCAATAATTCACTGCATAGGGCAGGATTTTTTCTAGTGTGCACACCCACCTCACAGACCCATCCTTATGTCTTGGCAAAAATTCAGCAATCACATAAAATTTGAGAGCACTGTGATTGAGATGTAGATGTACATGAGAGACAGCAGCTTAATTGATGTAGTTTTAAAAATAGGTTAGATAAATACATGAGTCCTAGGTAGTAGGTTGGTAGACAGCAACCGCCCAGGGAGGTACTACCGTCCTGCCAAGTGAGTGTAAAACGAAAGCCTGTAATTGTTTTACATGATGGTAGGATTGCTGGTGTCCATTTTTCTGTCTCATGAACATGCAAGATTTCAGGTATGTCTTGCTACTTCTACTTACACTTAGGTCACACTACACATACATGTACAAGCATATATATACACACCCCTTTGGGTTTTCTTCTATTTTCTTTCTAGTTCTTCTTCTTGTTTATTTCCTCTTACCTCCATGGGGAAGTGGAACAGAATTCTTCCTCCGTAAGCCATGCGTGTTGTAAGAGGCGACTAAAATGCCGGGAGCAAGGAGCTAGTAACCCCTTCTCCTGTATATATTACTAAATGTAAAAGGAGAAACTTTCGTTTTTCCTTTTGGGCCACCCCGCCTCGGTGGGATACGGCCGGTGTGTTGAAAGAAGAAGAGAAATACATGAGTGGGTGTGGGTGGGTGTGAGTTGACCTGACTAGCTTGTACTGCTGGGTCTGGTGCAGTGCTCTATCCTTGAGTGGAGATGACCAGGCTGGGTGGGTCATTGGGATAATCCAGGGGGGTGGGTCATTGGTCTAATCTGGGGGGGGGGAACATGGACCTGCTCCGCTTGGGTCAGTAGGCCTGTTGCAGTGTTCCTTCTTTCTTATGTAGATCTAAGTGGGAAATCGTGAAAAGGTTTAACAGGGAATGTCTGTACCTTATAAGACAAAAATCTTCCATTATGCCATGACTGTGTGAACATCGAAATGGTATAAAATACCGACAAGTTGTTAGGTAAGACACATATGCAACAGTTAGGTATCTTTATTTCGAAATGTTTCGCCTACACAGTAGGCTTCTTCAGTCGAGTACAGAAAAGTTGATAAAAGCAAAAGACGTGAAGACGATGTAATCAGTCCATCACCCTTGAAGTTTTGAGGTGGTCAGTCCCTCAGTCTGGAGAAGAATATTGTTCCATAGTCTGAAAACAATATGGAACAATATTCTTCTCCAGACTGAGGGACTGACCACCTCAAAACTTCAAGGGTGATGGACTGATTACATCGTCTTCACGTCTTCTGCTTCTATCAACTTTTCTGTACTCGACTGAAGAAGCCTACTGTGTAGGCGAAATGTTTCGAAATAAAGATACCTAACTGTTGCATATGTGTCTTACCTAATAACATGCCATGACTGTATCTACCATACATAAAGGTGTTTCAAAAAAAAAATAATTTTTTTTTTCTTATTTACAAAGCACTGGAACCATTCGGTTATTCAGTGCTTTAAGCAGATTCCATTCATAACATTATTAAACTTACACAATCATTGCCAACTGACTACTGTCATGATTAATTCACTCATATTACATTTTTTTTTTTTTTTTCAACAAGTCGGTCGTCTCCCACCGAGGCAGGGTGACCCAAAAAAGAAAGAAAATCCCCAAAAAGAAAATACTTTCATCATCATTCAACACTTTCACCACACTCACACATTATCACTGCTTTTGCAGAGGTGCTCAGAATACAACAGTTTAGAAGCATATACGTATAAAGATACACAACATATCCCTCCAAACTGCCAATATCCCAAACCACTCCTTTAAAGTGCAGGCATTGTACTTCCCATTTCCAGGACTCAAGTCCGACTATATGAAAATAACCGGTTTCCCTGAATCCCTTCACTAAATATTACCCTGCTCACACTCCAACAGATCGTCAGGTCCCAAGTATCATTCGTCTCCATTCACTCCTATCTAACACGCTCATGCACGCTTCCTGGAAGTCCAAGCCCCTCGCCCACAAAACCTCCTTTACCCCCTCTTCCAACCCTTTCGAGGACGACCCCTACCCCTCTTTCCTTCCCCTATAGATTTATATGCTTTCCATGTCATTCTACTTTGATCCATTCTCTCTAAATGACCAAACCACCTCAACAACCCCTCTTCTGCCCTCTGACTAATGCTTTTATTAACTCCACACCTTCTCCTAATTTCCACACTCCGAATTTTCTGCATAATATTTACACCACACATTGCCCTTAGACAGGACATCTCCACTGCCTCCAACCGTCTCCTCGCTGCTGCATTTACCACCCAAGCTTCACATCCATATAAGAGTGTTGGTACTACTATACTTTCATACATTCCCTTCTTTGCCTCCATAGATAACGTTTTTTGCCTCCACATATACCTCAACGCACCACTCACCTTTTTTCCCTCATCAATTCTATGATTAACCTCACCCTTCATAAATCCATCCGCCGACACGTCAACTCCCAAGTATCTGAAAACATTCACTTCTTCCATACTCCTCCTCCCCAATTTATTTATTTATTTATTTATTTATTTATTTACAATTTGTGCACACATACAGAGGTACAAAAAAATACAGATAAGAGCAGCATGCCAAAGCCACTTATACTATGCATAGCATTACGGGCTGGCTTAAAATTAACTTAAGATTAACTAAGCAATGATGAAATCAGTGATAAAACATTAATGTAAACAGATTACTATAAAGCACAAGTGAGTATTACAAAGACAGGTCATATGGTTGCATGCATTGTTGTACATTCAGTCGTATGGAGTATTCTGTTAGGTAGTGTATTTAAAAAAATAATAAAGTTAGACTGGGTTTTAGGTTTAACATTTATGTGATATAATTGTGAGAAACATTTAAGATTTTTATTTTTTTTTTTTTATTATCACACCGGCCGATTCCCACCAAGGCAGGGTGGCCCAAAAAAGAAAAACTTTCACCATCATTCACTCCATCACTGTCTTGCCATAAGGGTGCTTTACACTACAGTTTTTAAACTGCAACATTAACACCCCTCCTTCAGAGTGCAGGCACTGTACTTCCCATCTCCAGGACTCAAGTCCGGCCTGCCGGTTTCCCTGAATCCCTTCATAAATGTTACTTTGCTCACACTCCAACAGCACGTCAAGTATTAAAAACCATTTGTCTCCATTCACTCCTATCAAACACGCTCACGCATGCCTGCTGGAAGTCCAAGCCCCTCGCACACAAAACCTCCTTTACCCCCTCCCTCCAACCCTTCCTAGGCCGACCCCTACCCCGCCTTCCTTCCACTACAGACTGATACACTCTTGAAGTCATTCTGTTTCGCTCCATTCTCTCTACATGTCCGAACCACCTCAACAACCCTTCCTCAGCCCTCTGGACAACAGTTTTGGTAATCCCGCACCTCCTCCTAACTTCCAAACTACGAATTCTCTGCATTATATTCACACCACACATTAAGATATACAATTTATAAGGTTCAGTTATTCAGTATTTATTTGGTTTTGGGTGAGTAGGTGATCTTTGAGAAGAGACTTGAATTTATAAACAGGTAGTGTTTCTTTTATATTTACAGGTAATGAATTCCAGATTTTAGGGCCTTTTATATGCATTGAGTTTTTGCATAGTGTGAGATGGACACGAGGAACATCAAAGAGTGATCTATGCCTTGTGTTATGGTCATGTGTTCTGTTGAGGTTGGCAAGGAGATGTTTGAGGGGAGGGTTAATATCAGAGTTAAGTGTTCTATGTATGTAATAGGTGCAGTAATAAGTATGGATGTTTTGTATGGTGAGTAGGTTTAGTGTATTGAATATTGGTGGAGTGTGCTGCCTGTAGTGAGAATTTTTATCATTCTAACTGCAGCCTTTTGTTGGGTAATTAGTGGTCTGAGATGGTTAATTGTTGTTGAGCCCCATGCACAAATTCCATAGGTGAGATAGGGGTAAATAAGAGAGTGATATAGGGCCAGGAGGGCTGACTGTGGAGCATAGTAACCGTATCTTCGATAGTATGCCTACAGTCTTGGAAATTTTCTTAGAAATTTGTTGTATATGTGTATGAAATTTGATTCTATTATCAAGGTGGATTCCTAAGAATTTTCCCTCTGTTAGCTTTGTGATAGGTGATCCGTTTATCATTATGTTAAGAGGGACATCTGTAGCTCTGTTACCAAACTGAATGAAGTAGGTTTTGTCAATGTTTAGTGTAAGTTTGTTAGTCCTCATCCAGGTAGATATTTTCTGTAATTCGGTATTAACAGTATTGGCTAGCGTGACTGGGCTCGGGTGGGAGAAGACGTATGTAGTGTCATCTGCAAATAGTGTGGGTTTGAGCAATTGCGAAGCATTTGGTAGGTCATTTATGTATAGGAGAAAGAGAAGAAGGCCAAGGACACTTCCCTGTGGGACACCAACTGTAATTGGTTGTGCAGAAGAGTTTGCCCCATTTGCGTACACATATTGGCTTCTGTTGCTGAGGTATGACTTGAGGAAGTTGAGGGAGTGCCCTCTTATACCATACCTGGAGTTTACCTGGAGAGAGTTCCGGGGGTCAACGCCCCCGCGGCCCGGTCTGAGACCAGGCCTCCTGGTGGATCAGAGCCTGATCAACCAGGCTGTTGCTGCTGGCTGCACGCAAACCAACATACGAGCCACAGCCCGGCTGATCCGGAACTGACTTTAGGTGCTTGTCCAGTGCCAGCTTGAAGACTGCCAGGGGTCTGTTGGTAATCCCCCTTATGTGTGCTGGGAGGCAGTTGAACAGTCTCGGGCCCCTGACACTTATTGTATGGTCTCTTAACGTGCTAGTGACACCCCTGCTTTTCATTGGGGGGATGGTGCATCGTCTGCCAAGTCTTTTGCTTTCGTAGTGGGTGATTTTCGTGTGCAAGTTCGGTACTAGTCCCTCTAGGATTTTCCAGGTGTATATAATCATGTATCTCTCCCTCCTTTCGTTCCAGGGAATACAGGTTTAGGAACCTCAAGCGCTCCCAATAATTGAGGTGTTTTATCTCCGTTATGCGCGCCGTGAAAGTTCTCTGTACATTTTCTAGGTCGGCAATTTCACCTGCCTTGAAAGGTGCTGTTAGTGTGCAGCAATATTCCAGCCTAGATAGAACAAGTGACCTGAAGAGTGTCATCATGGGCTTGGCCTCCCTAGTTTTGAAGGTTTCTCATTATCCATCCTGTCATTTTTCTAGCAGATGCGATTGATACAATGTTATGGTCCTTGAAGGTGAGATCCTCCGACATGATCACTCCCAGGTCTTTGACGTTGGTGTTTCGCTCTATTTTGTGGCCAGAATTTGTTTTGTACTCTGATGAAGATTTAATTTCCTCATGTTTACCATATCTGAGTAATTGAAATTTCTCATCGTTGAACTTCATATTGTTTTCTGCAGCCCACTGAAAGATTTGGTTGATGTCTGCCTGGAGCTTTGCAGTGTCTGCAATGGAAGACACTGTCATGCAGATTCGGGTGTCATCTGCAAAGGAAGACACGGTGCTGTGGCTGACATCCTTGTCTATGTCGGATATAAGGATGAGGAACAAGATGGGAGCGAGTACTGTGCCTTGTGGAACAGAGCTTTTCACCGTAGCTGCCTCGGACTTTACTCTGTTGACGACTACTCTCTGTGTTCTGTTAGTGAGGAAATTATAGATCCATCGACCGACTTTTCCTGTTATTCCTTTAGCACGCATTTTGTGCGCTATTACGCCATGGTCACACTTGTCGTGGAGCAAGTCATGGTCAACTGTATCAAAAGCTTTACGTAAGTCAATAAAGATCCCCAGTGGGACTTCTTTTTTCTCTATTGCAGTGTATATATGTTCTAGCATGTGTATAATAGCATCATTAGTATTTTTATTTGGCCTGAATCCAAATTGGCAGGGGTTGAGTATGTTTTGGGAGATAAGGTAGGAGTAGATTCGTTTATGAATTAATTTTTCGAAGATTTTTGAGAGAGGGTGTAAGTTGGATATTGGCCTATAGTTATTCAACTCTGTTTGGTCTCCTCCTTTGTGGATCGGGGTGACCCTTGCTATTTTGAGTACTGTAGGGAAGGTGGAGGATTCAATGGATTTGTTAAAGAGTGTTGCAATGATTGGTGATAGCACTTGTGACACTTTTTTGTATATAAAGGGTGGTAAGGTATTTAAGTCTCCTGCCTTGTTTTTTAGTGCATTGATAATAAGGGAGACTTCGTATGGGTTAGTCGGAGCTAGGAACAGTGTGTTCGGGTAGTTGCCGGTGAGGTAGTCATTTGGTGGGGTATCTGAGCTTGGGATTTTATTATATTACATATATCATTAAAAGTCTAGTTTTCACATTTCACAAACTATGGTATATCCATAATTCATTGTATATCATCGGCCATAAGTGTCAGTACATTTAAATAAGAGGGGAAATATCCCCACCACTTATGCAAAAAGAGATGTTCTGTTCTTAAGTCTGGCAAGCACCCTGTGAAAGAGTGGCACCCCTTTCAGAAAAATGGCCCATATCCCCCTAAACATAAAGCACTCAGTAGTATTGGTAGCGTCATTGACAAAATGTTAGTTAACAGGACACAAAATCAACTAATGTGATATTTTATTGTAGCACTGTTTGTAACAGCTTAAAGCTCCTGAAGAGTGAAACGTTGCCACAATAAAATGTCACATTACCTGCATCTGTGTCCTTTTACTTAACACAAACCACTCAAATGTCAGCAACACCTGAAGGTTACCCAACATTATGGGACTGTTAAAGGTAAATTAAATATTAAAGTTTGAAATTAAAACGTGTTTTACCTTTACAGCAACTTCCTTGTTATTCTGTACAGTCCACTGTGCTTGGATTACATCGCAAAATCTTCCTCGAATGATGTTTTCTTCTGAAGATGTTAGATGATTCATACTTATTACCTAAGAGAAAAAACAATAATTTGCAAAACAATGAAAATCTGAATATCAAACTGATGTACTGTGAAATTATACATTAAAAAGAAACAGAGTAAATTAAAAATTAAATAAAAAATTATTTGGGTGTACAGCCTCTCCTCAATTAGCAACATACGCATTTACTGACAACTTGGACTTACAACAGGCCCTCTGACTAGTATGCATACCTAAATAACATATATTAGTGCTGATTTATACAATATGGGAGCTAGGGGCTAGTAACCCCTTCTCTCGTATAAATTACTAAATTTTTGGGCCACCCTGCCTTGGTGGGATATGGCGTGTTGAAAAAAAAAATTATACAATATACAGTACACTACTGTATAAACATTTAAAAATATACCAGAAATGTTATAAATAGTGCAAAGGTGACAACAATAGCAAAGATGGCTGACACAAACCCACTACCATTATAGCATGCTCCTCACTTAGCGACGAATTCATTTACCGATGTGGTCGTAGGAACGGAAGTCCGTTATTAAGTGAGAAGAGGCTGTATCATTTATCACTCCTTCTTCACATGCAATTTCATGTACATATTCTCTATGTACTCACATATAATGATAAGTTACAACCTGTTAGCTCCTTCATGTTTATCTTCAGCTTTATACAATGTGATGAAGAAAATTGCAAGATACTTCCATGTAAGAGTCTAGGCATAATTGTAAGACTAGAAAATGGTAGTGTTACTGGCACACACAGTCACTATTTAAAAATCCATGACTGGTTACAACAAAATTAACAAACCACAGAACAGGTGGAGTTTGAACCGATGGCGAGCTAGTCTTAAAATTAAAGCTGCATGCTGCCCGACTTTATATAAGATACAATCAACAATTTGTGTATGCATTTATTACAGTGAATAGAACATTAAAAGGCCTTCTTAGTATGTTCTTCCCAATTTCAGATGCACTATTTCAATTGTAGTTGCAAAATAACACACTAAACAGAAAACCTTTAAAATGAAGTTCACGGTATCAAAAGACATGCTTAATGTATCTAAATACTGTACATGATTAATGTTTTGGGGCTTTGCCTCTTAAGTTAAAATAACCTGAATCAGTTCCAAAAGTGTTAAAAGAATTTCTTTGACTGATCTTATGAAACAACCCTCTGGTGCACTGAATATGAAATGCATCAATGGTGACAGGAACCTACACTCTCCCACGCTTTAAGTGAGGTGCGAGGATACTGGTGAAGGACTCTTGAACCCAGGAAATGTAGCTCTCCATACCTTTCTTTAGATCAACATTATCTTCCATTCCTTACATACTGTGTAACCCTTACAAAAATAACACTTCCCTGTGAATATAATAATAATAATAAAACAACAATGACAATAACAACAACAACAACCTATTATACTGCACAGAAAAATAAAGTTTTTTTTTTGGTTAACAACAGCTGTCTCCCACTGAGGCAGAGTGACCCAAAAAAAAGAAGAACCAAAGTTTTTTCTTTTTATATTTAGTAATTTATACAGATGGAGTTACTAGCCCCTTGTTGCCAGAATTTTAGTCGCCTCTTATGACATGCATGGCTTATGGAGAAAAGGTTCTTTTCCACATTCCCATGGAGATTATTTATATATTTTTTTTTCAACAAGTCGGCGGTCTCCCACCGAGGCAGGGTGGCCCAAAAAGAAACAAAATCCCCAAAAAGAAAATACTTTCATCATTCAACACTTTCACCTCACTCACACATAATTACTGTTTTTGCAGAGGTGCCCAGAATACAACATTTTAGAAGTATATACGTATAAAAATACAAAATATATCCCTCCAAACTGCCAATATCCCAAACCCTTCCTTTACAGTGCAGGCATTGTACTTCCCGTTTCCAGGACTCAAGTCCGGTTATATAAAATAACCGGTTTCCCTGAATCCTTTCACTAAATATTACCCTGCTCACACTCCAACAGCTCGTCAGGTCCCAAATACTATTCGTCTCCATTCACTCCTATCTAACATGCTCACGCATGCTTGCTGGAAGTCCAAACCCCTCGCCCATAACACCTCCTTTACTCCCTCCCTCCAACCTTTTCGAGGATGACCCCTACCCTGCCTTCCTTCCCCTACAGATTTATACGCTCTCCATGTCATTCTACTTTGATCCATTCTCTCTAAATGACCAAACCACCTCAACAAACCCTCTTCAGCCCTCTGACTAATACTTTTATTAACTCCACACCTTCTCCTAATTTCCACACTCCGAATTTTCTGCATAATATTTACACCACACATTGCCCTTAGACAGGACATCTCCACTGCCTCCAACCGCCTCCTCGCTGCAGCATTTACAACCCAAGCTTCACACCCATATAAGAGTGTTGGTACTACTATACTTTCATACATTCCCTTCTTTGCCTCCATAGATAACATTTTTTGCCTCCACATATACCTCAATGCACCACTCACCTTTTTTCCTTCATCAATTCTATGATTAACCTCACCCTTCATAAATCCATCCGCTGACACGTCAACTCCCAAATATCTGAAAACATTCACTTCTTCCATACTCCTCCTCCCCAATTTGATATCCAATTTTTCTTTATCTAAATCATTTGATACCCTCATCACCTTACTCTTTTCTATGTTCACTTTCAACTTTCTACCTTTACACACACTCCCAAATTCGTCCACTAACCTTTGCAATTTTTCTTTAGAATCTCCCATAAGCACAGTATCATCAGCAAAAAGTAACTGTGTTACTTCCCATTTTGTATTTAATTCCCCATAATTTAATCCCACCCCTCTCCCAAACACCCTAGCATTTACTTCTTTTACAACCCCATCTATAAATATACAGTGGAACCTCGCCTAACGAACGCATCGCATAACGTTAAATCCGCCTAGCGATACATTTTAACACAAAAATTTTGCCTCAGCTAACACTAAAAAACTCGCTCAACGTGGTTCGTTCGAGACACGTCCACGTGTGGCCTGAGCCCGCCTCACTCGTTCCGTGGGTGCCAGTGTTTACAAGCCAGCCACCGCGATTACTTCCAAGCATACAATCGGAACATTTCATATTATCACAGCCTTTTTAGTGATTGCACCTGCAAAATAAGTCACCATGGGCCCCAAGAAAGCTTCTAGTGCCAACCCTACAGCAAAAAGAGTGAGAATTACTATGGATATGAAGAAAGAGATCATTGCTAAGTATGAAAGTGGAGTGCATGTCTCCGAGCTGGCCAGGTTGTATACAAAACCCCAATCAACCATTGCTACTATTGTGGCCAAGAAAACGGCAATCAAGGAAGCTGTTCTTGCCAAAGGTGCAACTTTGTTTTCGAAACAGAGATCGCAAGTGATAGAAGATGTTGAGAGACTGTTATTGGTGTGGATAAACGAAAAACAGATAGCAGGAGATAGCATCTCTCAAGCGATCATATGTGAAAAGGCTAGGAAGTTTCATGACGATTTAATTAGAAAAATGCCTGCAACTAGTGATGATGTGAGTGAATTTAAGGCCAGCAAAGGTTGGTTTGAGAGATTTAAGAATCGTAGTGGCATACATAGTGTGATAAGGCATGGTGAGGCTGCCAGTTCGGACCACAAAGTGGCTGAAAAATATGTGCAGGAATTCAAGGAGTACATAGACAGTGAAGGACTGAAACCTGAACAAGTGTTTAATTGTGACGAAACAGGCCTGTTTTGGAAGAAAATGCCAAACAGGACCTACATTACTCAGGAGGAAAAGGCACTCCCAGGAAACATAAGCCTATGAAAGACGGGCTTACTCTGTTTGATATGTGCCAATGCTAGTGGTGATTGCAAAGTGAAGCCTTTATGGTGTATCACTCTGAAACTCCCAGAGTGTTCAGGAAAAACAATGCCTCAAGGCTAATTTGTGTGTGCTGTGGAGGGCAAACAGTAAGGCATGGGTCACTAGGGACTTTTTCTAGACTGTTACACCATGCATTTGCCCCACTGTGAGAAATTACCTAATTGAAAAGAATTAGACCTTAATGCTTCCTGGTATTAGACAATGCTCCTGGTCATCCTTCAGACGTGGCAAAATGACTTTCTGCGGAAATGAGCTTCATTAAGGTCAAGTTTTTTCCTCCTAATACCACTACTCTCCTGCAGTCCATGGACCAGCAGGTCATTTCCAACTTCAAGAAACTGTACACAAAAGCTATGTTTTGAAAGGTGCTTTGTAGGGGACCTCAGAAACTCAATTGACTCAAGAGAGTTTTTGGAGAGATCACTTTAGCATCCTAAATTGTGTAAACATTATAGGTAAGGCTTGGAGGAAATGACTAAGAGGAAACCCTTTAACTCTGCTTGGAAGAAACTGTGGCCAGAAAAGTGTAACAAAAAGGGGTTTTGAAGGGTTTGAGGCTAACCCTGAGAATCCTATGGGCCCGCTGAGGAATCCATTGTGGCAATTTGGGGGAAATCCTTGGGGTTGAAGGTTAGTGGGGAGGATGTGGAAGAGTTGGTGGAGGAGGACAATGAAGAAAACCCAAACCCCTGATGAGCTGCTAGATCATCTTTAACAGCAAGAGGCCACACCTGAGGAAACTGCTTCGGAGGAGGGGATAGAAAATTGAGGAAGTTGCCTACTTTAAAGATTTTAAAGGAAATGTGTGCAATGTGGCTTAAATGCAAACCTTTTTTGATGAAAATCAAACCCCCACACAGCTATTGCAAGCCAAGCTGGTGACTATTACACTGACAATGTTGTGAAACACTTTAGGAATGTCATAAAGGAACGGGAAGTACAGGCCTCTATGGATAGATATGTTGTGTGACAGAGGTCCAGTGACTCTCAAGTTGGTCCTAGTGGCATTAAAAGAAGGGAAGTAACCCCAGAAAAGGACTTGCCACCTCAAGTCCTAATGGAAGGAGATTCCCCTTCTAAACACTAACACCATCAACACTCTCCCCTCCTCCCATCCCATCAATCATCACCAGATCTTCAATAAAGGTAAGTGTCATGTAACTGTGCATGTCTTC